ATGCTCGGTACTGAGCTGTACATGCTCGGTACTGAGCGGTACATGCTCGGTACTGAGCGGTACATGCTCGGTACTGAGCGGTACATGCTCGGTACTGAGCGGTACATGCTCGGTACTGAGCGGTACATGCTCGGTACTGAGCGTTACTAGCTCGGTACTGAGTGGTACATGCTCGGTACGCTCGGTATTGAGCATATATAACAAGCAGAATTTTAAAATTACTCTTATAATATAATTTTGTTCCGGGGGCGCTGCCCCCGAAAACCCTCGCAGGGGCGCTGCCCCTTGACCCCGCGACCTAACCGGGCAGCGCCCCCTTGGACCCCCGGCAGACTGATTTTATTTTGTATTTATGTTATTTTATTATTGGTAGTACAAATAATTGTTATTTTTGTTATTTTTTGTCATTATTTAAAATTTTAAATTAATTTATTTTAATCGTTTTGAGGCTTACGCCTCGATCCGCCTCGAGGCTTACGCCTCGCCTTGCTTAGAAAAAACGCCTCGATTCCCGATTTCGCCTTTTAAAACCTTGGTTTTCTTTTTTATTAGATTTATATTTTTGTCGCCAAAAAACAAGAATAAATTTGTATCAACAAAAATTTTATTGTGCAACTTTTTGTATATTGTAGAGAAACTAGTTTTGAACATTTAGGTATTTTTCTGAAAATTTTACAGTAGAAAATTTGAGAATTATGTTGTTTTAATTGAATAGGGAATAATCCCGACTTAAAAAAATAATGTTGTAGTACGATTAACGCTTTAAAATAATGTTATGTATAATCTTTGATAATTTGATAAAATTCTGAAATAGTGCATTTTTACTCAGTAGGATTTTTATTTCCTACAATTATAACATTTTTGAAAATTTGAAATTAGTTTATTTATGCTTTAATCGCTACAATGTAATTCATTATGTGCCTTATTGGTTGAAATAAAAAGTTCTGAGGAGATTTGGTGTAGAAGAAATAAGTTATTATGGTACTTGTAAGGTATATTTTGGTGGCTATAAGCCATATTATGGTAGCTATAAGTTATGTTCTGGTGCTTGTAAGTTATATTATGGTGGCTATAAGCTATATTTTGGTGCCTACGGGCATCTTCTGGTGCTATTTGCATATTCTATTCTGGTGATGCCATTGAGAGTTATAAGAAGGAATTTAGTTACTTTGCTTAGAACTATGAATTATTTGTTTATTTACTTCTCTATATTGCTAGTTAAGTTTTTTATAACTGCAAGTACGAATTTGTTCAAGAAATGGTTATTATGAAATACCTTTTAAAATCCAGCTGTATATTCTATAAATGAAATGATTTGAAAATTTAGATAGGTTTAAATGTGGCATGTTGAGCTGTGTAGCTCATAGATGTTTTGCTTCTTGTTTTCAAAGTATGGGAAGCCTATTTAGCAGTTCAGGATCTAATATGAGTATGCATATGTATTCTTCTTTTGATTTTTTGTATAGCCATAGCTAGCTTTTGTTATGTTTTTCTTTGCTCTCGGTTTCTGTAGCCATATACTGCAGTGTAAGTTTTGTACTGACATTTTGATGATAATAAAATAAAAAGAAGTTTGTGGACAATGTATTCTTATACACTGGATATTGTTAGCAATTTTGTGTTTTGTTGTTTGTTTTAAAGTTTAAATTAGAAGAAAAAAAAATAAAAAAATTCTCAAAACTATATCTTGGGGTTTGCCTGTCACATGCCAACATAGTAGAGACTTGATTCAATTGGGGGTCTTGTCGGGTTGGGTTGTGACACGGAGAGGGCTGGAGAGAAAAGGGCGGATAGCCTTTTGACGCAAGGAAGAAGGGCTAGAAAACCTGTGACCCCTGCTAGAATGAAGGATCGATGGCTAGAAAGGGGGAGGAGTCGGCCCACACATGGAAGAATCCAGGATACAAGAGAACAACTCTAAACTATTCCTTTAAAATCCCAAAATCTGAATTTCAGAGTTAAGGAACCTCTTTTTATAAGCTTTCAACTAGTAAATAAAGAAATAAAATAAAATAAAGATAATGTTATTTAAAGAAAGAAATGATAACATATTAAATAATAATAATAAAAAGAGAACATAAAAGGTGGGGTCCGATTGGTTTTAACCCAACTGGCCAAGCCCTGCTTTGCGTCATTCTCTCATGCTTTGAGCGGATTCATTATCTTTGGAAGGTGCTAATTCAGCATAATGAGGGGTTTTGTCTGAGATGTTGAAAGTCGTTGAAATGTGATAATCACCCGACAGTTCTAGTTGATAAGCATATCATTGACGCGTTTGATAATGCGAAATAGCCCATCTGCCGTAGGTTTGCTGCAGGGGCCCAATGCAAATCTTTCCTTCTTAGTTTAATCCAAATCAAATCTCCCAATAGGTTTCCTGTTTTTGTTGGCTTAAGCTTGATATTTTAGATTATGTTTGTTGATGTGGTTTTGTACCTGAGCATGGAGTTTACTTATTTCTTGAATCCATTGTTCAACATCGGGGCAACAATTTGATAGAGCGATTGAAGGAATTTATCAACTGGTGATAGGGGATTTCGACCCTGCACAACTTCAAAGGGGCTTTGTCCTATGGTTTGATTGCGAGATTAGTTATAAGCAAATTCTACTTGAGGCAGAATTAGATCTTATTTTATGATATTTTTTTACTATCAAGAGATTGTCTAGAATTCTATTGACAAGTATCGTTTGTCCATCTGTTTGCAGATGTGCGAGGGAGCTGAATTGTAACTTTGTTCCCAGCTTACCCCATACTGTCTTCTAGAAGTGACTAAGGAACTTCACATCTTGATCAGATGTGATGGTCTTAGGCATGTTATGTAGTTTAACGATCTCTTGAAAATAAAGATTGGTAATGTGGGTTGCTTCTAATGTCGTGTGGCAAGAAACAAAGTGTATCATTTTTTGAAATTCTATTGACAACCATCATGATGGAATTTTTTTGACGCTGTGTATTTGGTAACCCCTAAATTTATTACAAAATAAACAATTTTTTTAATGTTATTTAAATAAATTTGAATTTTTAATAGAATACCCTTTGTACACTTTATTAATAGCTTTATAAGCACGATCATCTCAAGAATGTGGCGTTCATGAAATATAATAGAGCTTTGATGAAATTCCTCAATGATCTTGATTCTGTTGACCAAATTTCTCTAAATAACATTGATGATTCCAATAAATGGTTGATTGTGAAATTGGATGATGAAACTATTAAAGATGATGATGATGAGGACATCGAAGATCAACGGCTACGATCGTGTCTATTTATTTTGATGTATTTGTTATTTGTACTTTTCCATTTCTACCCTCACTTGAGGGCTTTGTTTTATGTTTGCCCTAGGGGTAATTTTGTCTTTTATTTTCCTTCATGTATTTGACTATTAATCCTCAAAATGGAGGCCACAAGAAAACTTTGATCTCATTCCCTCTCCAGAATCAACTGTAAGACACTAGGCCCTATTCCTAGAAAAGTGGCTTATTGAAAAATTACAAATTTTTGCTTCAACAAATAGAATACTAAATTAAATCTGACTAACATTTAGCACACTGAGAATTAATTTAAATACGTTTAAAGAAGAATACAGAAAATAGACGTGGCCAAAGACTAATGTACTTGAACTGCATCAACTTGTATTGTTGTCACATTATGTACTCTAGTGGTTACTCCACACATTTCTCTTCAGCCATACGCGGCTAGATAGGTCCTGGTTTTAAGACATTATAATGAATCATGATGGTGTTCTTAAGACCGAACATTTTTTCAGCGGGGGAGCAGCATTATGGTTTCAAGCATTTGATAGATTAGAATCTCCTCCCGAATTTTCCACTATTTTTCATAAATCTCTGTAGGCAAATTAGATTCAGATTATTGATTTTTTAATCTCCTTTTATTGATAACCATTAGTTTATTTGTCTGCTGCAGGGAAATATTTTGTTATGTGGTATTAGAAATGGAACAATTGTTGCAATTGATGTTAGACAAAGGCAACCAAAATGTTTTGAGGTTTCAGCTAGACTTACATCAAGGATACACTATCCACGTAAAAAGGTAATCTGGCAGGGGTAAATTTATTTATGTAATTTTAGTTGTTGCAATTTTTCTATTAAATTCTGCATTTTTTTGCCTTTGAATTTTTACTTACATTGGCTTTTAATGTCATGATTTTCTGGTGGTAATATTAGTTGCATAATCTTTTAAGCAGCCTAGGAGAAGTTCAAACTCTTCCAATGCTGCATTCATGTCCTCCGCTGTCTGCAGGTATCTTCTATTTGCAGGTTTTTCATGAGTTGATTTATCAAAATCTTTTCTTGCATGCAACATTGTTCTTTAATAGTTTTCTTAGATTCTTTCACCGTTCTGCAGTGTCGTAGCACTTCAATCTGATGAACAGTATTTCTTTGGCAGTTCCATGGATGGATCGGTGAGTTTTCGTGCCTTCTCTTGTGATAAACTTTGCATGTTAAGTGCTTGGTAGTTAATGAGCTCAAATAGTTCATTGATATGTTAACATCTTCACGATTGTAAAAGCATATGAAATGTCCAAAAGGAGATTAGCTATGTTCTTGATTGGTTTAGTTCTATATTTTTGAAATTCTCTTATGCATTTTGACAACTGCCAATCTTTTATTGTTCAAATAACAATTTGTAATAAATGTTTTTAGTTGTGATGTGTAAACAATGGCTGCATTAGAAAAGAGTTTAATAATAATCTTCTATTAATTCACTTTTTACACAGATCAAACTCTTTGATCGTCGTTTTCTTAAAAGAGATATCCAATCTTATGAGGGTCATATGAATTCTCACAGCCAGCTGCAACTTGGTGTCAATCCATCCGAAACATTCCTGCTGTCAGGTGGGTTTCTCTTTGATATTTCTCGTTTGATTAATGCTGAAACACCCAAATACATGACTTAAAAATAGGGCCACATATCTGTTATGATTTATGTTCACAAAAAAATGCACAAAATAAGTTTTTTACCTCAGATATAAAGCTTCATTAGATATTATATATAAAGTTTTTTATTCAGATTTAAGATCTTTTACCCAGTATAAGACTTTCTATTAAGAATCTTTTCTTCTGATTTATTAAGTATTTCACTTGGATATAAGATTTCTTATACACATGAACATCAATCATCAACAACAAAAATATCAACCCTTTGTCCCACTATGTGGGGTTGGCTACAAGAATCTTTTTTTTTTTTTCATTGCGTCCTGTTAAAAGTCAAATTCTCGTTTAAATCTAATAAAGAAAGATCATTTCTAATATTTTCTAGCCAAGTCTTTTTTGGTCTACTTCTACCTTTCTTAACATAAGTAAAATCTAATCTACTTTTCTAACTTAGTCATCGGAATGCCGCCGTTTTATGGGACCAAACCATCTAAGGCGTCTCTCTCTAATCTTATCTTCCATTGGAGTTACTCCAACCTTTTCACGCATATGACATCAATGAAGGTCATTAATTTAATGCATCTTTCTATCACAATAAATATTAAATTTGAACTTGGCCACCTAAGCTGTCATATCAGCAGCTGACATGGCATCATTTTTACGTGTGATTTTTTTTTGGGACATTTAGGCCATTTAAGGCAAACTCACACACACAACGCATATACAAAGACTCGAACCCAAAATCTCTTAGTTGGAAGCATAGGCTCTCAACCAACAGGTCAAGGCGAGCTGTGTTACGTGTGATTTTTGTTTGGGTATTACAACATTATTCTTCTTATTTACCTCACTGCAAGTTAACCAAAGTCTGTTGCATATCTTCCAGGTGGGCAAGACTGCTTTGTGAGAATCTGGAGTATCAAAACCAGCAAGCTGATCTTCGAAGAGAACGTCTCCAATTGCATATTTCCTACGGTTTGCTGGCCATATTATGGAGACTTTTCATATGGTTCGTATCGCATCTCCTTTAATTCTCTTTTGGTCACTTCGGCTTCGTTTGGAACAACATTCTTACAGCTTTACAAAGCAACTTTCTTGTACAATAATTTCTAATTTAAAACAAAAATTATATTAAAAAGTTTCTTTATAAAGCAATAAGAAATCAGTCCCGAGCAAAAATGATGAAAGAGGTCAAACACCTCATTATGTTCGAATTATTAAATAGAAATCAATATTAATTTAGAACATCATGAGCTTGTTCATTACCTGTTCTTCTTAACAGGTTATGATGAATTTCTTAAGCATGGTGAGAACCCGTATGAGTCCACCTGTAGCTGGGGGGTGTGGCTGGGTTCACGTGAAGGGCTTCATTACATGCGAGGTACCACCTGATTCTTCTTCTTCTTCAGGCAATGTAGTTGCCACCATTTTTTGATTACTTGTAGCCTGTGCTTGTTCATTGCTTGTTCTTCAAATTATTTAAATTAAGATATATCACGAGAGTTTTGAGCTTTTATTTTATTTGCATGTAGAAGATTGTAGTGTCTGATGTGTAATAATGAGGTTTTATTGTGTAAAATATTCTAAATAGAGAAGATTTCAATTACATAGAAGTAAATGAGCTAATATTTTGTTTTTATATTTTTGTTATACTATAGCTTTATGAGATATGCTACTTTGACTAAGAAATTTGCTGAAATAGCACATAGAATGTGAAACAAATAGTTGCTGTCATATCTGCTTTTATCCATATGCAAGCTCATATTGAGTGATTTAGGTTTCATTTTGTGCTAAAAGTAATTTTTTAATATAAAATTTAAAATTTTGTTACTAGAAAGCTATTTTAGGCAGTAAGAAAATAAATTTTTAGATTTTATTTGGGACGGTTTTTTTATTGTTTCTTAAAATAATTTTTTGGTTAAAAAGAAATAAATTTTATTAGAAAATTACTTTAAGAAGCAGTAAGAAGTTATCCCAAACTAAGGCTTTGTTTGGGACGACTTTCTTTCTGCTTCTTAAAGCAGCTTTCTAGTATAATTTTTTTAATTTTTGTACTAGAAAGCTGCTTTATGAAGCAGTAAGAAAGCCGTCCCAAACAAAGCCTAAGCTTTAGGCTTCGTTTGGGATGACTTTTTTCTGCTTCTTAAAATAGCTTTTTAGTACAATTTTTTTAAATTTTGTACTAAAAAGATGCTTTAAGAAGCAGGAAGAAAGCCGTCCAACGAAGCCTTAGATTTCATTTGTTGTCATTATTTTTTTCTTGTTTTCAAAAAAAAATTATATTAAAAAGCTTTTATAAAAAGCAGTAAAAAATTATCTCGGTCAAGCAATATTTTTTGCTTGTTATATTTATCTTGGTGAAAAATTAGGTCAACATATTGCGATTAAAATTTTAATTATGTTGAAGAATATTACGTATAGAATTTAGAATAGATGAAAAAAAGGTCCGTTATATAACTTTTTTATTATTTAGAAGCTTAAAAATTAGAATTGGGTTTGGAACCCAATAATGGGCTCTCAAGTGGGCCGGGCCATGGTCTATATTATAAAAATATTATGGCTTCAAGAAATTAATACATTATGTCGCCCAATATATATATAAATAATTTGTTTTCACGTTTTTAATGTGTAAAAATAATATTATTGTTTGTTAGATAAGTCTGAAACTTAAAGATTCATGTTTTAATTATTTTCGATTAAATAATAAAATCTAATAATTTTTTATTTTTTGATATCTATTTTTCATACAGTAAATAGCTAAATGAATGCCTTATAAAAATGTCTATAAGCCTCTATACGAAATACCCAGCAGTGTAAATGGTATCGTCAATATAAAAATATGTACATTTTTTATTTTATTTTATTTAAAAAAAATGTTAATTATATTTAATTTTAACTAATTAACAATTTGGGAAGTATTATAGGCAAGAGAGTGAAATTTCATTCAATGGATTAAATTGAACTCTCTCAAACTCTCAATTTAGCTCAACTCAATGGTTAGTGAGTTGACTCATTTAAGATTATTATAATTAAAGAGATTAGTTAAAAATATTTTACCATAACATCGAGTTTTTTTTCCACTATGTGAGGTTGGCTACATAAATTCTTTTTTTCTATTGTGTCATGTTAAGAGTTAAATTTTCATATAAATCTAATAAAGAAATATACTTCAAATATTTTATAACCAATTCTTTTTGAGTCTATTTGTACTTTTCTTAACATAGTCAAATCTAATATATCTACTTTCCTAACTGTGTTTTTAAAAGGCCACCGTTTTATATGACCGAACCGTCTAAGATGACTCTCTCTAATTTTATCTTCCATTGGAGCAACTCCAACATTTTCACGTATATCCTCATTTTGTATCATCTCTAAGAGTAAAGCAACTCACCCATCTCTGCAACACTTAACTTAGCACTATGCTTCTCTTTTAAAGGCCAATATTCTGCACCATGAAGCATTGCAGGTCTAACCACAATCTTATAGAATTTTCTCTTCAAGTATGACTGTATGAAGGGGACTTTTCTATCATAAAACAAGCCCGTTGCATTTCTCCACTTCAACCATCTAATTTGAATTCTACTAATAAAACACCATCTATTTCACCATCACTCTGAACAATATACCCATGATATAGAAAATGTGTACTCTTATTAATAACTTGATCACCCAAAGTGACAATCACCCCCAACTAGATGTATAATTACTAAAAAATCTTTGTATCATATTCATGAGCCTATAGCTTCATTTAAGATCAATAATATTAAATTAGTCCATTATAATAAATGAATTCTTAGGTCTCTATTATAGATTTCAAATATTCATTAAATAAAAAAAAGTATCTTTTTAGACATAGCTTAATTCATAAAAAGATTTAGTTGTCATAATTATTCTTAATAAACATCGACTCTAGTCTTCCTACAAGATGAATCAAACTAAGATACCTATAAAGCCCATGATAGTAAATAAAGAGGTCAATTGCAAGAAATCCTTCATGGCCTAATTCAAAGGAAATTGATTACTAAAGGATAAGTCTAGTACTTCTCAAATTAAGTAAAGTTCCTTATAATTTGCTATTGTTAATCATGCATACTTCATATCACAGGACCTTGCCAAATATGAATGTGATTTCTCAAATAAATTAAAAGACAAGATAAAAATGCATAAGAATTAAGTAGATTTATATAGTGCACACCAACTTGGTCCAAAGATAATCAAAATAAAAAATGTGAGATATTATGAGCTTAGATTAGTTAGAAAGTGCAATAATCTTGATAAAAAGTGCTAACATTTCTAGTTCATGAGAACACTCTTCATGGATCAATTAATTTGCTACATATTATAGTATCATCTTGGGTATTTCTTTAAAAAATAAGTTATTGATATGATTGGTCCCATAGACCTTGATCTTCTTTATACTATTGATTCATCCACATCATAATTGATTATTTTTTAAAGTGGGCCAAGAAGATTCATTTAAAAGAGAATATGCATATATTGTGATGGATTTATTTAAATACCACATTGCTACTAAGTTGAAATTCTTATTCAAATAATGACATGACCCACAAAAGTATGAAGAGCTATTGATTTGCTAATTAACATGAAGTTTAGTTTTATGGTAAATAAAAGTTGGAGAATAATATGATAATAATGAATGAATCCACTAATCATAACTTCAAGGTGAAATCATAAACCAAAATCATATAGGTTTTCTCTGATGTGTTAGTTGAAAAATTGATCTAAAAGAAAGTATACAAAAGAAGAGTTTGTTAGCTCATTGATATATATATGACATAGACTTATGACTTTCATAAATGATTTCTACCACAATAAATATTATACATGGCTTGCTAAACAATCTTATGGACTCATCAATCCTTAATTTTGGTTGAGGAGCTTGATGTCATAATTAAATCTCAAAGCTTGGTTCAAAGAAACTCATATGACTCAATAATGCTGAAGGTAGAGTCATGTACAAGTTAAAGGTTTATTAGATAGCTCCATCATCATCATATTCATATCAGATCTAAAATTTCATTCCAATAATTGTTATGATATGAAACTTCAAGTGTTACATCTTAAGATTGGAGAGGATGGGTATAACAACCATTCCTCTAGGCTGTAATACAACATGACATTATATGTCTAAAGCAGTAGGTTTATAGGTGACCTAGATATTTGAAACAAAACTGTTATATGTTAAACTTAACTATAAAATTTATATAGGAAACTGAAAAAATTGTTATTTAGTGTTTGTAACAGCACAAATTCATAACTATCGAGATATTGTCCGCTTTGAATTGAGGACATCACGATTTTGTTTTATTGGTGTAAGTTCCTTGGAGTCCGTCACCCATCCCAAGATTTCTTCGGTATGAGGACGCTTAACTATGAAATTTCTTAATGAAATTTTAATCATTACACCAAAAAATACATAGATGTTTAAGAGTTTGGCTTCTTTTACTTAAGCGATTTCTAAAAGTGGCCCCTATAAGTTCAAGTGGTGATTCCCGTCATATAGCATTTTATCTCATACAGGGTTCAAGAGAAGCCTCTCATGGCGTAGCACTTTGACTTGTATGTCGATTAGTTCCCATCTTTTGACTGGTATATTGCTATGATACCATTTGTAACTACCCAAACTCATAACTATTGAGATATAATCCACTTTGGCTTGAGGGCCTCATGATTTTGTCTTATTAGTGCAACTTTTCAGTCACCCATCACAAGATTTCTCTGAGATAAACAAGCTTAACTGTGAAGTTTCTTGATGAAATTTCAATCATTATAACAAAAAGCACATCAGTGTTTAAGATTTTTTTTTTTAACTTAAGGGGTTTGACAGTGTTTATATATGTAGGTCTTATAATAAGAAACCTTAATAGAGATATTCATTATTATATGATATTGGCTTAATTTAGTTTAAGAAGTGGTATGTTATAAACAAAAGTAGAAGGGGGTACATAATGCAAAGAGAAGTTAAAAGTAAATAAAAATAGTCTTGGATAATAAATCCTTGCTAAGCCTTATTCTAATCATCTTGAATTTAATTTTTTTTTATAATTTCTATTTATTTTTTTTCCTTTTGATCATTCTCATCATATAACTTGCTCCATTATTATTTTATGTGTCTTGAATATCTTTTTATTTTGATTATTATATAAGAAGGATTAGAATTTTGCCTAATAAATCTTTAAATATGTTTAATTTATATATATTTAGCGCAAAGTATTTTGTCATAATAAATGAGTAAATTTTTTTATATTTACTACAATAGAGAAATATAGAGTTTAGTGTCTTAGCTTTGTACGAAGATCTAATACACAAATAGATAAAAGAGATGGTGTATCAAGTTCAAGAGACACCAGGATTTTAACGTCGAAAATCCTAAAAGGGAAAAAAATCACGGGACCTTGCCCAATTAAAACGATTTAAATAGTATTAATGGTTGATTACAAATAATGCCCTTCCTCGGAGGAGGACGTTGGCTCAATGTAGCAAAGATACACTATATATAGCACAATGCATAATCTGAAAATGAAATGACAGTTGCTCTTAAGATAGTGTTGGTTTGTTCATTTGATTAGTAGGATCATTAGTGGCTAATGATGGTCAAAGAGACAGTAGTCGGCGGAAAACGGTGGTCGGAGAGATAGTAGTCGGCGGGTGAAAGTGGTCGAAAGGATCGTAGTTGGTTGGCGACGGTGGTTGGAAGGACCTTAGTCAATGAACGATGATGTTCAAAAGGACCATAGTTGACAGGAAATAATGGTCGGAAGGACCGTAGTTGGCGGGCGATAATTTTTGGAGGAACCATAGTCGGTGGGTGACAGCGGTCGGAAGAGCCATAGTCAGCTGGCGACTGTAGTTGGAAGGATCGTAGTCGGTAGACTACAGTGGTTAGAGGAAGGCTTGTTAGTGGCTTTCATATAGAGGTCCGACGACTAGGATTGGCTAGAGGTTTAACAGCGGCAGCTTGGTGACATAGATTCGTCGAGGGCGGTGTTGGGGTGGAGCTTTAGCCTCATAGCTCTTATCTTCTTCCTCTTCTTTTTTTTTTTTCTCACCTTCATGAGAAAAATGGGGGGTCTATTTATAATTTTTTGGGAGTGACATGACTATTAAATATGGAGAAGATAAATGGCATGTTGGGAGTTGTCCATCAGACAGCTGGTATTAATTCTCTTAATCATTGTAGCACTTATCAAGCATTTAAGTGCTACAATGATGTCAAAATTTGACGATCTTGGGCTCGTTGGATTCGTGTCATCGAACCGAATGATTTGATTATAAGTACTTCACATTTGGTAGTCCAATTAATGTCCTCAAGCTTCCAAATAAACATTTGACCTTTGATGTGGACTCAGATTGGATCAAATTTTATGTTGTTGGGTTTGTTTCTTTGAGATGTTCAATTTGACTTTAAGCTTATTGAAATCAAAGTTTGGATTATCCCAAATATAATTTCAGAAGTTTATCATTCAAATTTGCATCGAGATTGATGCCATATCAAATTAATTTCTTGGTGACATATCAATAATGATTATTATTAATGAAGACACAATGCTATACTTAAATAATTTGAGCTTAATTCCTTCTCCATTGGTTTCATTTGATTTTGAAAAACAATATAATTTCATAGGCCTAGAAACTATCTTGAATTATCTTAATTACTTTAACTATTGGATAATTAATTATAACCAAATTTGGCCATTTAAGAGGCTGATATTGAGTCATAAACCTACACATAAATAAGCATTTAAGCTTAAATTCACACTGAACTACGAAGAAAATAAAATTCTATCATCATATTAAATACCTCTTAAATCACATCTTACAAATAACTGAAAAAAAAGTCATTGCGACAAATATTACGTCAAATAATAACCTTCAAACTAATTAATTTAAAAATTATTTAATACATTCATAACATAAAATTAATCTAAGATTTTATTTGGAATAATTTTCCTACTACTTAAACAAGTCGAGTCGAGCTCGAGTCACCCATAACTTGAGCTTATTTAATTAATCAAGATTGAGCTTTATTCTACGAGGAAGAACAAATTATAATTGTGATTTAAGTATTTATTATTATAAAATGATAATAATAATAAAAAATTATTAAAACATAATATAATTTTAAAACATTTTTTAATAATTTTATATTTAAAACTCTAAATCATAACATATTTTACTTAATATTAATAAATTTTAAACAAACAGACTTCCGAACTAAAAAGTCGAGTCGGAGCTAGCTCAAGCCAGTTCATCAAGCTCGACTTACAAATTATTTATCAAGCTTAATTCAAACCAGCTTACGAATCAATTTGACTCACTTATACCACTATTTGCACATATGCAGGTGGAATAGATTGTGGAAAAAAAGAATAGAAATTTAGAGATTAGAATGAGAATTTTAAAGTAGTCGTGCCAACGACTACCCATAAAATTAAAAAATAAAAATTAATCAGGTCACGCCTTTGACACGCGACAATATGAACCCTGCCACCCGTTGGATCAATGACTGGTTCTAAATATATAAATATATACTAATTTAAAATTTTGAAGCAAGATAGTGCTGTCAAAAGAAGAAAAGTTGAATTTTTTTGAAGGAAAAATCTCTCTCCCTATATATATATATATAGAGAGAGAGAGAGAGAGAGAGATCTTCCAACTGGATACCTAAATACATCATAACCAGAGAGTAACCAACATCATTACAAGTTCTAAATACACGAGAGACTGAAACAATATCATTCCTACTAAGCTTTCAAAATCTTGGAAGATGAAGTAATAGCTAGAAGCATTGACTGCATGTTCCTTAAACTTTCTTACCCACAGATTTCTAAAAAAAAAGATTTTTTTTTTTCTTTTCACTTGATGAGTATATACAGCCGGCTGCTCACCAACTCAGATTGTCAAAAACGATAAAAATACATAGAACAAGCAGTAAATATGAAAGGAAGTAGAGATTGGTAATGAGAAAAAAAGCTTATAAGTCATTGGAACAGAAGCGACGCCGCGGAAGGCGGTGGAGGCTCATTGAGATCGAAGGGAAGACCCCGCCGGGGTTCCGGAAGAGGTGCAGGCTCGCGTCGAAGGAAGCTTCCGAGAAGCAGCGTGGTGGCTGGAGGAGGCGGCGGAGGTGGCGAAGGAAGGGGGTAGTGGGGCCAGAGGTGGCACGGCAGTTGGTTCAAGTCAAGCGGAAGATGAATAGGCGGTGGAGGCGGCGGAGGAGGAGAGGGGAAGTTTGTCTTCGCCTTGGGTCCGCGAAGTGCGCGCGCCGCCTGGTCGTAAGCGGAGGCGGCCTCTTCCGGCGAGTCAAAGGTACCCAGCCAGACTCGCGCTCTCTTCCACGGGTCGCGTATCTCCGCCGCATAGCGCCCCCACGGCCGCTTCCTCACCCCTCGAAAGTGCACCTCTCCGCCCCGCGAAGCCATTGCAAAGAGAGAGAGAGAGAGAGAGACAGAGAGCGAAAGAGATGAGAAAAGAAAGGAAGCCGATTTCGGGGAACGATCTCCACCTCGGGTTTCTTATTGACTCTGCTTGTTTTCTAATCAGCAAAGAAGGGTGAAGAATTGGGGGAGCCGCCGCCTGATTTGACGTGTGGCAGGCGGCCTGGCTTCATCATGTGAGCAGGTTCTGACGTCAGCCCTACTCGCTCTCACCTCCACTGCTGTACGGACTGATGAGCGGCGCCTGCATCATTAACCCGACCCGTTCCCCGGGGCCGGCCCCGCACTTCTTTTTACACTTTTGCCATCACTTTTTTCCCTCTAAAATCGTCAAAAAAATATTATGGACATAAAAATAAAACAATATTTATTTGTCTAAATTATTTAAATTGAAGAAAACTTCAGTCGGTTAAAATTA